ATTTTTATATGATGTAGTTGTAGTTGAAACCAATCCAAATATGCAGCTATGAAATATGTACTAGTTTGCAGTACAAGTGTTTTTAGAATGACAAAAGTGGTACAGCTTTTGAAAGGACTAGTTGTACATGGCTTAAAGGAGAACTATGAGATGAGTGATTTCCACTCACCTCATAGTTCTAAGCCGAACTGTGACAATGAGACTGTCACAGGTCGGCTCAGTAGATCGGGAGGTGAGGGAACACATACCGGGTTCCCTCACCTCTCGATCCTGTCACGGCTCTCTGCCGTGACAGGGGGAGGGGCTGGATTCCCCTCTCCCAGCTCCGATCTGCCAGCGCTGACTGGCGGAACGGACGGGGGAGGGGGCGGGTACAGCTGGCTCTGCCTCTAGATAGGCAGAGCCAGCTGTCACTCACGCAGCTGGGCCGATCCCATCATCTACGTCGGGATCCGCTCCAGGTGCGGCGTCTCAGTATACCGCGAGCTGTAGCTCGCGGTATACTGAGCTTAGGGTAACGGGAGGACGCTAGTTTGCATGTTACCAAAGATGCTGATATTTATATTTACATGATACATTTTGCAGAAAGCATGCTTTTTATGCAGGTAGGCTAAGCTATATATGGATGTTAAATTTAAAGGTTCACTTTAAAGGTGAACTATGGAGGATTTGGATTCATTTATTTTACGGATGGCTTATATATATTTTTTCTATGTATATAAAATCTGTATTTTATAAATAAACATGTAATATAAGGTGTACCCATGACCCTGAATTCACAAAAAGATTGTAACCAAATAGCATCAGTTCTTTGCAAATACACAGATTCTCTCTCTTTTTTTAAACTTCATATAACCCACTCCTCTGATCAACTTGCTTGCATGTGTAAAATGTTACATATTTCCAAAAGAACACATACGAATAGGCAGGCTACCAGGTAAATGTGTGTAATTTATAATTGTAATGCATATAAATATTTGTATGCAATATTTCTTATTGACTTGACAAAAAATAACTATTTCAAAAATTCAGTTTTTGTTCTGCACGTAAATAAATAAAGAAATATATACAAAGCACTAAATAGAGTACTGTGTAGTGCCAGAAAGCTTAACATTGATTTGGTTTGGGGCGCCATCATTTATATTTAATGGCAGAGGCTTAGGAAACAAATATTAGGAATAACACATAATAAAGAATGACATATTATGAAATGTGCCCCACCTGTTACATACAGTAAAATGCAATTCTGCCTTTCTGATAAATGTATATTGTACAGATTGCTAGTGTCTGCAATAGGAAATGATCAGATGGCAGTCCACATTCAAATAAAAGTGTCTACGGACTGCTCACACAACCCCAGAATATCATGTAAATATAGACAGTTCTTATTGGATATAACTGACTGTACAAAGTACAAAGGTAGGGGAACTACTATGTTAATATGCAAAGCTGAATTGTCCTGACGTACAGTATCACTTTTGTTAGAAAATAAGGGTTTATGTTTTAAAGTAGTCAGAACAAGTGTTTTAAAGCACTCCAGAGATGCATGTATGAATAATTTTGTTCTGCTTGAATTCTTTGTCAAAAATATTAGTATTTACAAACCTGACCAAACCCTCTGAGAGGTGAAGACAAACCATTGCAAGAATCAACCACTTCATGGTTCTGAACTTAGGCAACACCAATCCTCCGGAAATGGGACTGTGGTGTAAGATAGTTACTGTGGTATTTTATATAGCTGTTGAACTTATGTAAGAGTATTATCTGCAATCTAACCTTCCACCAATGTTTGGGATAAACATATTTATTTTGCAAGCCTTAGATATGTATTATCTCAACTAATGCTATCAAATAGCTGCTTAAGTTTTTTAATGGATTGAGATAATTTCTTGCTCATGGAAACATTTGCTTCAACATAGCTATCAAAAAGAAAATAAAGCTATTAAAAGGAAAATATAAACGTTCCCTGTTGTTATTATACTGCAGAACAAAAAAACAAAATAAACATCTACAAAAGGTCAACAATGTCTTTAGGGACATAATGTGCTTAGTACTCTTATGTTGGCATACATAACGTGTCCTATATGCATATGCTAAATAAATAAAAGAATGTGCATAGTGTTCTCTTATTTTGATCTTTTACAGCATTTACAGCTTTTACAGCTTTCAGTGCAGAGCTTTGTCAAGCAGAGTAACCAAACACTTACATGTCTGCGTAATCACTGTGTTATGCTAGTGCAGAGGTATTAAATTAATTTATCTCCTTACTATACACTCAAGAAAAAGACGGGTTTAATGAAGATAATAATGTGAGTAGCTTAGTGCGTAAGATACCACAGTGGTTGACGGTAGCCGGGGTTCAACAAAGACTTGAAAAACATAATGCAAATTAATTGTTAGAACCAGATAACCTGCACCCCAGGGTACTTAAAGAGCTCAGCCAGGTTATAGCAAGACCGTTATTCCTCATTTTTGAGGACTCCATACTGAATGGAATGTCCGTAACAATGGTATAATACTTGATAATCAGCATGGATTTAGGAAGGGCCGTTCTTGTCAGACCAACCTGCTAACATTCTACTAAGAGGTGAGAAGAGATCTGGATGGAGGGAGGCCGGTGGATGTAGTGTACCTGGATTTTGCAAAAGCATTTGACACAGTACCACATAAACGCTTAATACACAAGCTGAAATCTATAGGCACAGATAAAATGGTGAGTACATGGATAGAGAACTGGCTCCAGGAATGTGTCCAGAGAGTACTGATAAATGGCTCTTTTTCAAATTGGTCTAAGATCAAGAGTGGCGTGCATCAGGGTTCGGTACTAGGCTCCATATTGTTTAACTTGTTTATTAATGATATTGGGGAAGTTGTTAATAGCCATGTTTCTGTGTTTGCAGATGATACTAAAATTGGGAGGATAATATACACGGACTTAGACATTATAACATTACAGGAGGACCTAGATAAAATAGGGAACTGTGCAACTATATGGCAGATGAGGATTAACCTCCCTGGCGGTATGATTATGTCAGGAATTTTGTACCAAAAGCGGTACAATAGTTTGATACATAAGTGTAATCATAGCAGATTACATTGTATTGTGTGTATTCTATGTACATTACAACTTTTCCCTTTTGAATTTCCCACCTGCTGTGACGCCCGAAAACGAAACTAAAAGTCAGATGCCGTTTTTTAGTTTCATTTTCGGGCCGCGTACAGCAGAGGACGCCGCGGGATGGCAGGGACAAGGTGAGTGTCACTTTTCTCTGCAGCCCCGAGTCTGGCTCGGGGTTACCGCTCCTAGCATTGAAAATTCAACCCGAGCCAGACTCGGGATTACCGCCAGGGAGGTTAATGCAAAAAATTTAAAGTAATGCACTTTGGGGTTAAAAACAGGCAAGCGGAATACACATTAATGGTTACTCCACTAGGGAAGTCAGAAATGGAAAAAGATTTGTGGGTCATAGTCGACTACAAATTGAACAATAGCATGCAATGCCAGGCTGTGGCAAACAAAGCTAGTAGAGTACTGTCATGCATTAAAAAGAGGAATATACTGTAGAGACAAAGCAATCATTTTGCCACTTTATAGATCTCTGGTTCAGCCACATCTTGAGTATGTGGTTCAATTTTGGTCACCGATCCACTAAAAGGATGTCCTTGAGCTAGAGAGAGTCCAGGGAAGGGCAACAAAACTAATAAAGGGGCTGGAGGACCAAACTATGAGACAAGGTTACTAAATTTAAATTTGTTCACGCTGGAAATGAGGAGATTAGGAGGGGACATGATTTTGTTGTGCAAAATGTTTAGTGGAGATGGCAACATCAGCAATAAACTTTTTACTGTAAACTCCCTAAAGAAGACTAGAGGCCACTACCTAAAATTGGTGGAGAAAAGATTTAACAACAAGGGGCGTAGGGGCTTCTTTTCAGTTAGAGTGGTTACATTTTGGAACTCTCTGCCACAAGCAGTGGTATTAACAGAGAGTATTGAATCATTCAAAAATCAATTAGATAATGTCCTCAGAGACGATAACATACAGGGGTACAGGTACTCTTAAAAACTAAGACCACACAGGGAGTCATATACATACATGCACGCACAACACACATACCGACACACAAAGGTTGAACTTGATGGACCTGTGTTTTATTCAACCTCAACTACTATGTAACTGCGTAACTGAGGAGACCAGTTGCTGGAGTTTTGGTAGAGGAATGTTGTCCAGCGCTTGCCTGATATAGAATTCTAACTGCTCAACAGTCCTGGCTTCTTTGTTATATTTTTCGTTTCAAGGTGTTCCAGATATTTTCAATTGGTGAAAGGTCTGGACTGCAGGCAGGCCAGTTAAGCACTGGACTCTTCTACTACAAAGCCATGCTGTTGTCATAGCTGCAGTATGCTGCATTGTCCTGCTGAAATATGCAAGGCCTTCCCTGAAAAAGACATTCTGGATGGGTGCATATGCTGCTGTAAAACCTGGATATATCTTTCAGCATTGATGGTGCCTTTCCAGATGTGCAAGCTGCCCATTCCATACGCACTAAAGCACCTCCCTTCTGTCAGATATGCTGGCTTGAGTGCTGATGGCAAGCTGGAAAGTCCCTCTCCTCTTTAGTCCGGAGGATGTGTTGCCAATGGTTGCCAAAAAGAATGTCAAATTTCAATTTGTCTGACCACAGAACAGTTTTCCACTTTACGACAGACCATTTTAAATGCGCTTTGGCCCAGAGAAGATGGCAGTGTTTATGGACCATGTTCAGATATGGGTTCTTCTTTGTATGACAGAGCTTTAACTTGCCCTTGTGCACAGAGATTTCTCCAGATTCTCAGACTCTTTTGATGATATTATGTTCTGTAGATGATGATATATTTAATGTCTTGCAATTTTACTTTGAGGAACATTATTCTGAAATTGATCGACAATTTTTAGATCCAGCTTTTCTCTGCCCATCCTTACTTCTGAGACACTCTGAGTCTCTAAGATGCTCTTTTTATACCCGATCATGTTACTGACCTGTTGTTAATTAACCTAATTAGTTGCAAAATGTTCTTCCGGCTCATCCTTGTTAGTACCACTTATTTTGCTAGCTGTTTGTTGCCCTGTCCCAACTTTTTTGAGACGTGTTGCTGCCATCAATTTCCAAATGACCTTATTTTTTTCTTAAAATGGTCCATTTTCTCAGATTAAACATTTGATAGGATTTCTATTTTCTATTGTGAATAAAATATGGGTTTATGAAATTTTAAAATCATATCATTCTGTTTTTATGTAGATTTTACACAGCGTCCCAACTTTTTGGGAATTGGGGTTATACATATGGTCAGGCCATGTTTTTTTCTTTGTATGTTAGTTATTTTTTAAATACCCCCTCAACCTGAAGTGAACTAATAAAAGCATCTCAGGGACCCCTTAAAACAGTTCACTCCATGCTCCTGGAGCATGTAAATTTCCACTTCCTCACTCTCTGCTCCATTTTTATTTATTTGTTTATTTATTTATTTATTTTATCACAGGTTTTACACAATGCACCCAATATCAAATTGGGTTCCCTCTGTCAGTCATTTCTTTTTATATCAAATTTTAATTGGTATTTGGATATCTGTGGATCTGCCCTTGTTTTAATATCAGTAATTTAACTATACAATTATTGGCTTAATAATTTACCTGCTGTACTTTCCACTGTCTTATCAGATTCCTATTACAGTTTACATTGTTACTATGACTTTTTTTCATCATAGTAATAATATTTTTCTTTCTAAGACTGTCAAATATACTAAAAGTATTTGGAAGATAAGATGCCTGTGAAGGTCCTCATTTATCCAGGTCAAGGTGTGCTAGTAGTAATGATTCACATTCAACTTAACTAATTCTGTAATGTTGGACTGTGTGTTTTAGTTCAAGGAGGGTGGTGACATTGAGGTCTATTGGAAACCTACCCACACAGACCAGGATCAGCATTCTTGACACCTAGCACCCACTGAAATAAGAACTGGGGTTTTTTTAGGACAGTGCAAGTTTTGCTGTGATGGCAACAACAAACACTAAAGTCAAAGAACACAGACATCTCAGGAGTGCTTTGAGAGTTTGTGGCTACCTGGACTGGGCTTTCCTTCTTTCCTTCCTTCTTTCCTTCTTTCCAAACTTCTACAAGGTCAAGCAAATCACAGGACCACTGAATAGAGGGGAGAAGCAGAATACACAAAGTAATAAAGTCATTTATATTGTCCTTCAAGCCCAGCAATACACTGAGAGAGAAGCTTGCATATCCTAAGGACTCAACACCCAAACACATGCAAGGTAACTTGGTATATGCAATGCAGCGTAGTGAGAAATGCAAAAGCCTGTACACTGGGGAGACAAAACAAGAAACGAAAGGACTAAAATGGGTGCACTTTTTGGATAGAGAGGACAACTGCTTCGCAAGAGGCATAAAAGAAGCCAGCTATGCAGGGCCGGTGCTAGGATTCTAGGCAAGGTAGGCACGGTGCATTTTGACAAGTTAAATGCCCTGTTTTTTTTCGCCCTCACCCTGCAGCGCCCTCAGACGGCCGCCTGACTTGCCTTGCGGTAGCGCCGGGCCTGCAGCTACGTTAAACTAGAACAAACATCCTTATATAAGGGTGGGGACCTTTGATACCTTTAAGCTGGCCATACATTAATAGATATTTTTGTTCAACTTGTAGGTTGAATAAAATA